TGGAGGCCGTGGTTGAAGCCAATGGCGATTTTATTGAATAAATTTACTCTTTAGTATTTCAAGATATTTTTGTGTAATTTTGGTAAATATGTCTTTTAAAATGAGATGTCAGTGTTATTTTCATTCTCTCGTAATTGAGACGGCAATTTATCCATCGCACCTTGTATATATATGTGTGTGTGTGTGTGTGTGTTTCCTTTGTGAAAAATTGCAATAAATGACTTGAATAATAAGGCAATTTTCAATCATTTATATTCAAAAGCTTTTTCTAGAACACTTCCTCTTTTTTTTCTCTTTGTGATCATCAATTTGTATTTGTAACGTCTTTATCTTCCGTCAAAACTAACTTTCACCCAGGCGAAAATTACGTTATCGACTGCGAAAGAAAATTCAGGATCACGTGATCCTTGCAAAGGTCCACGGGTTTCTGAAGGGCATCGAACAATCCCCGCGTTATACAAATTTATTGAAATAAAGTGATCGCCAATTAAAGAACCTCTCTCGATTAAGCCTTCTTCGTTGTCGAGAGACTTGTTCGAGATTTACCGCCGAAACCGGAAGTGAATGTTCGAGCCGAGGGAAAAGCCAGCGCTTAGAATTATGGCTTCTTAAAACCAGGATTTGCATTCTTGATTTACTTTGTCTGAAGGATTGGTGTAATATAATGTCCAGGAATCAACTCGAAGTGTTTCTTCTCATTAAACTAAGCGGCTGAGAGCTGAATAAATATGTACAATTGCCCTTAGGTATTAGTTTAAGGGTCACACAGATAAATATATTTGTGGATGCTCAAGAATCTTATATAAAAGGTTATATATTCTCACGTAATCTTTATATAATCTTGATATCAATTACAATATATTCTGTATTTCACTGTTGTTTAATTGCAAGTGCAAACCCTTCTTGAATATTTGACGTTGCTTGTTGCCGATATTTTGAAGGTTAGTAATCATCAAGCCGGCAATCACTAATCCGGGACAATAAATAATCCGGAATTTCAGATTTCTCAGCTTGCCACAGAAGCTTGGCATCCTTAAGAGATCCGCACATGAAACAGTTTTTTAAAAGAACCTGTATGACATTTGTGTGGATTGATGTTGAATTCTTTAATGAGAAACTTGAATATGGTCGGTTGAAAAGTTCATAGGCTAACCAAGTTAATCTCATAGAAAGTGAGCAATTGATTTTTATTTTCCAACGTAGTCCCACTTGCAGTCTACACACTTCTTTCGTCGTTGTTGCCTTGCTTGGACTGTATTCGTGAAGAAGCTTTCATCCTGTTGGTCATAAAAGTCATCAACAGCAGACATGACGTCATAATCATTGCGATACTATGTGTTTCTACGTGTTGGGGAACAGATGATAGTCAGATGTGGCTATTTCAAGAAAATAGTAACTCTGATCAACTCCTCCAACGCTACAGTCACGCGCAGTAGACATTGAACAAACGACGTGTGCTGGAGCGTTGTCCTGATGAAACAAGTCCGATGTTGTCAGTTTTCCTAGGCATTTGGTCTTGATAGCCCAACTACTGCTCACCATTGATAGTGTGGCCCCTTTCATCCTGGGCTAGGAAACCTTCAAGGAAACCAAATGGATCTGCCTCAAACAGTTTCAAATTTTCCCTTGACATAACACGCCTGGTGCACATTTGATCAGTTGTCAGAAGACGTGGCCTCCAGCGAGCAGAAACCTTCGTCATGCCAAGTTTATTGTGTCAAATATTCTAAACTCTCTTACGAAATATGCTAATAGCATTGGGTATTTGCTTTATACTCAGTCGCTTATCATCCATTACGATGTCGGAAACACAGTGTTTGAAACGGCAGATCATTTTCAAGATTCTCCCTTCCCCTCTTAATTCCAGTTGCCCATTTATGACCTTGAACAAACTGAGACATCATCACCTAATGTAGCAATCATGGCACCATGAATGTCCTTGTGGGTAAATATGTAACAATCATGCCAGCATAAATGTCCTTGGGGGTATATATATAGCAATCATGCCAGCATAAATGTCCTTAGGGGTAAATATGTAACAGGCATGTCAGCATGAATTCCTAAGGGGTAAATATGTAGCAATCATGCCAGAATAAATGTCCTTCGGGGTAAATATTTAGAAATCATGTCAGAATGAATGACCTAGAGGGTAAATATGTAGCAATCATGTCAGCATGAATGTCCCTGAGGGTAAATATGAAGCAACCATATGAGCATGAATGTCCTTGAGATTAGATATGTTGCAATCATGTCATCATCAATGTTCTTGGGGGTAAATATGGTGCAATCATGACAGCATGAATGTCCATGAGAGTAAATATGTAGCAATCATGTCACCATGAATATCTCTAAGATTAAGTATGCAGAATTATGTCACCATGAATGTCCTTAGCGGTAAATATCTAGCAATCCTGTTAGCATGAATGTCCATGAGGGTAAATATATAGCAATCATGATAGCATGAATTACCTTAGGCGTGAATACGTAGAAATCATGCCAGGATGAATGTCCTTGAGGGTAAATATGTATTAAGCATGTTACCATGAAAGTCCTTGCGGGTAAATATTCCGAAATCATATCAGCATGAATGACCTTGAGTGTAATATGTAGCAATCATGGCAGCATGAATGTCCTTGGGGGAAAATATTTAGAAATCATGTCAGCATGGACGTCCTTGAGGTTAAATATGTAGCAATCATGTCAGCATGAATGTCCTTGTGGGTGAATATGTTGCAATCATGGTAGCATGTATGTCCTTGAGGGTAAATATGTAACAATCATAGCAGCATGAATGTCCTTGAGGTTAAATATGTAACAATCATAGCAGCATGAATGTCCTTGAGGTTAAATATGTAACAATCATAGCAGCATGAATGTCCTTGGGGTTAAATATGTAACAATCATAGCAGCATGAATGTCCTTGAGGTTAAATATGTAACAATCATAGCAGCATGAATGTCCTTGAGGTTAAATATGTAACAATCATAGCAGCATGAATGTCCTTGAGGTTAAATATGTAACAATCATAGCAGCATGAATGTCCTTGAGGTTAAATATGTAACAATCATAGCAGCATGAATGTCCTTGAGGTTAAATATGTAACAATCATAGCAGCATGAATGTCCTTGAGGTTAAATATGTAACAATCATAGCAGCATGAATGTCCTTGAGGTTAAATATGTAACAATCATAGCAGCATGAATGTCCTTGAGGTTAAATATGTAACAATCATAGCAGCATGAATGTCCTTGAGGTTAAATATGTAACAATCATAGCAGCATGAATGTCCTTGAGGTTAAATATGTAACAATCATAGCAGCATGAATGTCCCTGTGGGTAAATCCTTTTTATTGCAGGTACTTAATGACATCGCAATGCCAAATGTTGTCCATTTTCAAGAGAATTCGGTACTAGTTACTTTTGAAGTCTTCTTTTATCGTATTTGCCGATCTATTCGACGCGGATTTAAAAAAAAAAATGCACCAAAAATTACACCGAGTCCAATACAACTGTATTATGTATGAGAGAAAATGAAGACCGCGAGAAAAGTGGGATTCAGCAGGAATCAGTGCACGTATAGAACTTAACTCTGAAACTGGCACTTCTGGAAATGGAAAAACATGATAACAATAAATACATACCTGAATATACACCCGGGAAAAAAGAAACGTATAGAATTGCGCAATATTTTGCTGCTTGTTTTCTAGAAATTTGCTTTGACAGATATATTGCTGCTTGCTTTGTGCGTGTTTTTGTTGATATTCAGGTATTGGAATCTGGTTTACTGCATGTATGGTATGGGACTTCCTTTACCGCGTCCTGGTTATGACGACAAACTATATCCCTGTCCTGGGTATAGCGATAAACTACATCCGCGTCCTGGGTAAGACGATAAACTACATCCGCCTCCTAGGTAAGACGATAAACTAAATCCACGTCCTGGGTATGGCAATAAACTACATCCACGTCCTGGGTATGACGATAAACTACATCCGCCTCCTGGGTAAGACGATAAACTACATTCGTGTCCTGGGTATGACGATAAACTACGTCTCCGTCCTGGGTAAGACGATAAACTACGCCCGCGTCCTGGGTAAGACGATAAACTACGTCTCCGTCCTGGGTAAGACGATAAACTACGCCCGCGTCCTGGGTAAGACGATAAACTATATCAACTTCCTGGGTAAGACGATAAACTACATCCAAGTCATAGGTAAGACGATAAACTACTCCTGCTTGTTGGGTAAGACGATAAATTACATCCACGTCCTGGCTAATACGATAAACTACAACCGCGTCCTGGGTAAGACGATAAACTACATCCGCGTCCTGGGTAAGACGATAAACTCCATCCGCGTCCTGAGTAAGACGATAATCTACATCCGCGTCCTAGGCAAGGCGATAAACTACATCCGCGTCCTAGGCAAGGCGATAAACTACATCCACATCCTGGGTAAGACGATAAACTACACCCGCGTGCTGGGTAAGACAATAAACTCCACCCACGTCCTGGGTAAGACGATAAACTACATCCACGTCCTGGGTAAGATGATAAACTGCATCCGCCTCCCGGGTAAAACGATAAACTACATCCACGTCCTGAGTAAGACGATAAACTACATACATATCCTGGGTATGATGATAAAATACGTCCAACTAGAACGCCTCTGATCAGGTGGTTTTGAGGATCGTGAAACCACATTGTAATTGCTGGAGTTTCCAGGTCCACCCTCACCCTGGGTAGTAGCACCTGTTAGGGTCCCAGCTATGGGCAAATAGTTGACCCTCTCTCTAAACCGGGGTCAAAACACTATGAAAGTGTAAAAATAAGTTTTAATACCAGAAATTCATTGTGAAAAATTATTACCATTAATATATTTTTGAAGGAAAAAAAATTACCAACAATTTTTTAAAGGGAAATAGTACCAGCCAAAAATTTGTCGGTATTAAATAACCCATTGAGGCTGATATACCATAAAACAAACCAAACCAGTATATACTGAGATAGATAGATAGATAGATAGATAGATAGATAGATAGATAGATAGATAGATATTACCAGCAATAAAAATCTTGTCGACATTAAATAACCCATTGTAGCTGATATGCCGTAAAACAAATCAAACCAATTGATTTATCAACAAGTACTATATTTCTGATTTTTTTTCTATACGTGTTCATTGATCCCAACTGGTCTCATGGTCGGATTGATCACGTTCAAGTTAATCGGCAAAACGCCCACTTATTTCCGCGCACACAAGTATATATGTATAGACATGTATATATGTATATACATATAGACGGGGTTGTACGGAGGTCGTCGATGTTTGTGGCTAACACGAAGTCTCAGGGCATCGTGACCGTAGATTCGAGCAAGGTTAGTTGTGTTCAAACGGGTGATCTCGTCAGATTATACGTCCTACCAAAAAAAAAAAACTGTCGTTAATCTCCGCCCAGGAAAGTTGCAGTATAAATCACAGTAAGCCTATGTGGACGTGGAACAAATGGGGAGCTGCCTTAGGCGGAAACGAGGAGCCGGTCATATATACAGACGTCGTTATCTAAAGTGGCATGGGCAAGGCGAATGTTCCGTCATCATGTCCAGTCTTGTATTTGTTCAAACAAATTTACTACTCCGGAGAAATCTATTATTTTTGTCAGGACTGTGGAATCGGAGTCTTGAATGTGGAGTCGGAGTCGGAGTCGGAAGCAACTAAGGGATCCCTGGAGTGGGAGTTCGAGTCGAAAGCAAATGCCTGGAGTGGGAGTTCGAGTCGAAAGCAAATAAGGGATCCCTGGAGTCGGAGTCGTGGAGTCGGAGTCGGAAGCTAATAAGGGATCCCTGGAGTCGGAGTCCGAGTCGAAAGCAAATAAGGGATGCCTGGAGTGGGAGTTCGAGTCAAAAGCAAATAAGGGATCCCTGGAGTCGGAGTCGTAGTCGTGGAGTCGGAGTCGGAAGAAAATAAGGGATGCCTGGAGACGGAGTTCGAGTGGAAAGCAAATAAGGGATGCCTGGAGTCGGAGTCGGAGTCGTGGAGTCGGAGTGGGAAGCAAATCAGGGATCCCTGGAGTCGGAGTCGTGGAGTCGGAGTCGGAGCTGGAAGCAAATAATCGATGCCTGGAGTCGCAGTCGTAGTCGTGGAGTCGGAGTCGGAATCTGAATCAAATAAGGGATCCCTGGAGTGGGAATTCGAGTCGAAAGCAAATAAGGGATCTCTGGAGTCGGAGTCGTAGTCGTGGAGTCGGAGTCGGAAGCTTATAAGGGATCCCTGGAGTCGGAGTCGGAGTCGTGGAGTCGGAGTCGGAAGCTAATAAGGGATCCCTGGAGTCGGAGTTCGAGTCGAAAGCAAATAAGGATCCCTCGAGTCGGAGTCGTAGTCGTGGAGTCGGAGTCGGAAGCAAATAAGGGATGCCTGGAGTCGGAGTTCGAGTCGAAAGCAAGTAAGGGATGCCTGGAGTGGGAGTCCAAGTCGAAACAAATAAGGGATCCCTGAGTCGGAGTCGGAGTCGTGGAGTCGGAGTCGGAGCTGGAAGCAAATAAGGGATCCCTTGAGTCGGAGTTAGAGTCGAAAGCAAATAAGGGATCCCTGGAGTGGGAATTCGAGTCGAAAGCAAATAAGATATCCCTGGAGTCGGAGTCATAGTCGTGGAGTCGGAGTCGGAAACAAATAAGGAATCCCTGGTGTCGGAGTCGGAGTCAGAGCTGGAATCAAATAAGGGATACCTGGAGTCGGAGTCCAAGTCGACAGCAAATAAGGGATGCCTAGAGTCGGAGTCGCAGTCGTGGATTCGGAAGCAAATAAGTGATGCCTGGAGACGGAGTCTTGGAGTCGGAGTCGGAAGCAAATAAGGGATCTCTGGCGTCGGAGTACGAGTTGAAAGCAAATAAGGGATCCCTGGAGTCGGAGTACGAGTTGAAAGCAAATAAGGGATACCTGGATTGGGAGTTCGAGACGAAAGCAAATAAGGGATCCCTGGAGTCGGAGTCGTAGTCGTGGAGTCGGAGTCGGAGTCGGAAGCAAATAAGGGATCCCTGGAGTCGGAGTCGGAGTCGTGGAGTCGGAGTCGGAGCAGGAAGCAAATAAGGGATTCCTGGAGTCGGAGTTCGAGTCGAAAGCAAATAAGGGATGCCTGGAGTGGGAGTTCGAGTCGAAAGCAAATAAAAGATCCCTGTTGTCGGAGTCGTAGTCGTGGAGTCGGAGTCGGAGCTGGAAGCAAATAAGGGATCCCTGGAGTCGGAGTCGGAGTCGGAGTCGTGGAGTCGGAGTCGGATCTGGAAGAAAATAAGGGATGCCTGGAGTCGGAGCCCAAGTCGAAAGCAAATAAGGCATGCCTGGAGTCGGAGTCGGAGTCGTGGAGTCGGAAGCAAATAAGGGATCCCTTGAGTTGGAGCCAGAAGCAAATAAGGGATCCCTGGAGTCGGAGCCGTAAGCAAATATGGGATCCCTGGAGTCGGAGTCGGAGTCGGAGTCGTGGAGTCAGAGTCGGAGCCGGAAGCAAATATGGGATCCCTGTATTCGGAGTCGTAGTCGTGGAGTCGGAGTCGGAGCCGGAAGCAAATATGGGATCAGTGGAGTCGGAGTCGTGGAGTCGGAGTCGGAAGCAAATAAGGGATCCCTGGAGTCGGAGTCGTAGTCGTGGAGTCGGAGTCGGAAGCAAATAAGGGATGCCTGGAGTCGGAGTCGGAGTCGGAAGCAAATAAGGGATCCCTGGAGTCGGTGTCGTAGTCATGGAGTCGGAAGCATGAGGGGTGCCTGGTGTCGGAGCCGGAAGCAAATAAGGGATCCCTGGAGTCGGAGTCGGAAGCAAATAAGGGATCCCTGGAGTCGGAGCCGGAAGCAAATATGGGAACCTGTAGTCGGAGTCGTAGTCGTAGAGTCGGAGTCGGAGCCGGAAGCAAATATGGGATCCCTGAAGTCGTAGTCGTAGTCGTGGAGTCGGTGTCGGAGTCGGAAGCAAATAAGGGATCCCTGGAGTCGGAGCCGGAAGCAAATATGGGATCCCTGGAGTCGGAGTCGTAGTCGTGGAGTCGGAGTCGGAGCCGGAAGCAAATATGGGATCCTTGGAGTCAGAGTCGTAGTCGTGGAGTCGGTGTCGGAGACGGAAGCAAATAAGGGATCCCTGGAGTCGGAGCCGGAAGCAAATCTGCGATCCCTGGAGTCGGAGTCGTAGTCGTAGTCGTGGAGTCGGTGTCGGAGTCAGAAGCAAATAAGGGATTCTTGGAGTCGGAGCCGGAAGCAAATATCGGATCCTTGGAGTCGGAGTCGTAGTCGTGGAGTCGAATCGGAAGCAAATATCGGATCCCTGGAGTCGGAGTCGGAGTCGTGGAGTCGGAGTCGGAAGCAAATAAGGGATGCCTGAAGTCGGAGACGTAGTCGTGGAGTAGGGAAGCAAATAAGGGATGCCTGTTGTCGGAGTCGTGGAGTCGCAGTCGGAAGCAAATAAGGGATCCCTGGAGTCGGAGCCGGAAGCAAATAAGGGATCCATGGAGTCGGAGCCGGAAGCAAATATGGGATCCCTAGAGTCGGAGTCGTAGTCGTGGAGTTGGAGTCGGAGTCGGAAGCAAATAAGGGATCCCTAGAGTCGGAGCCGTTAGCAAATATCGGATCCCTGGAGTCGGAGTCGTAGTCGTGGAGTCGAATCGGAAGCAAATAAGGGATCCCTGAAGTCGTAGTCGTAGTCGTGGAGTCGGTGTCGGAGTCGGAAGCAAATAAGGGATCCCTGGAGTCGGAGCCGTTAGCAAATATCGGATCCCTGGAGTCGGATTCGTAGTCGTGGAGTCGGAGTCGGAAGCAAATAAGGGATCCCTGAACTCGGAATAGAAGTCGGGAAAAACTATACCGCCTCCGACTCCGACGGATTCGATAAATGTATAAAGTCCCTCTAATTTAACACGGTAACGTGGACTTTTCTTTATCAGGGACAAATTCATTTAACACCGTTTCTTTGTTAATTTTTTATCTCTTGTTCTCGCTGCGACGTCTTTTTTTTATTTCTTCTTAATTTTTTTCCTTTTTTTTCCTTCTTTGTTTATTATAGCATAGATTATGCTTAGCATTCTCAGTTGATTTTTTTTTTTTTTTTTAGATTCTTGCTAATAATACAAGTTAGGAGTGCATGCATAGGCTTTATGTGATCTGTAAGCCATCACAAGTAGAGGAGTTGGAGGTGGAAAAAATAAAGGCGTCTGGGGCGGAGATTTTGTGTTCCGGCACCGCAGCCCTGATTTTTGTCACAACTCACAACTTTTTTTGGATGACATGAGATAAGATTTGTTTTGCATTTTATACAGGATGATTGAAAATTATCTTCTTATTTTATATATGAGTTGCCAGCCAGAAGTCTTGACTTAGCACTCTTTGACGTTTTTTTTTTTTTCTTTAGGGTTGGTTAAAGGAGCAAGTCTACTATATCAAAACCAAGATTTTGGAATAACTTGAAGACGAATACAAGAATTTATGTCTTCTATGCTACAAGAGTTCCTGGTGAAATTGTAGTGACTACTCCGATTTAACACTCAGTTATAATTGGATAGAAAATAAGTACTGTTTACTACAGGACAAGTTACCTATCGCAGTAACCACAGAAAATTTTCTGCCATGATTTTGCCTAACACGGTTTTGTAAAATAAAATCAGTGATTGGTCAATTTTTATCCAATCGTGTATTTTAGATATTCCTTTCGATATTTTTCCCGCTTCTCTCTGGAGCCTACCCAAAAAGTAGTTAAACAGTTCGTACTCCAGAAATAAGTTAGTAGAACAATAAATCAACAGAAATCAACAACGCACGCGTATCTACATTCTTCTACTCACGCACACACAGACACAGAACTACCATTACACTACACTGTTAACTGTCTGTCACAAGACAAGTCACTAACCAAATTCTATTATCCTTTTTGTACAAACTTTTCATTCTTGAATTCAAATCTTATTCACTGAACTCTGAACATTTCAACAAGAAAGTTCTTAAGTGCATTATTCCTATCTTGCATCAGATATCAGTACAAGGGAAGCTACTTTTCTCTCTCTAAATATTAATACATAAGCACAATTGTTGTACTTGTTGATTTTCAATATATATTTTATTGTTGAATGCAATTTGATCTCTTGTTCTTTTTTCCTTGTGTTCTTTGCAAATTTAAATGTTGTCGGAGTTACCTCCTCCTTTCGCTTAATTTAAGAGAACATGTCATTTCGACCTTGACCTCTCGTTCATGCTCTTTATACATTGTTAACCCGTGGGAGAGACTAGCAAGTTCCCCTTTTAGTTAAGTTATATTACAAACCTAGTTGCAATATACTTCTAGACATTTTTAGGCCATAGTTCCCTTTAGCTAACCTCGACGTATTTTATTATAGACACTTTACTGTTAGCTTATCCAATTCACGTGCTGGTCTCCCTTAGCACAAGACAGTGGCTTCTCACTAAATTCAAGGGGTGGGCGACTGAAACGGTCGGATACGCAGGCCCCTGGCCTTCGTTGGCCAGGATCGTCGATCACTGGGCTGCGTATTAAGTTACGCTCCCATTTTTTTTGTCTGCCAACTTGACGATAGTTGGAAACTTTTCTTTCTCTCTCTCCTTCGCCTACTACTCCTGGCTCCTTGGCCCTGTTCGACGCTCGGCATTCCGTCCCTACTGGCTGCCTGCACGTCGTCCTTAACCTTTCCCGTACACTATGTTAGTAATTAATACGGGAGGTTACTAATATTGGACTCGACCGGCAAACACGCAACGCCTGCACTGGACCTTTGACATGCCCGAACAACGCCAGCTCTTCTTTCCTTCCCAACACATCAAGTTGGTACCCCGGCAACGATCAACTTCAACAACAACAGCGATGATCCTGTCAACAACCAACATCAACTGCAACAATCAACAGCGATGATCCTGCCAACAAATAACATCAACTGAAACAACCAACAGCGATCATCCTGGCAACAACCAACATCAACTTCAACAAACAACAGCGATCATCCTGGCAACTACCAACACCAACCTCGACCATCAATGCCGGCACTAGAACTTCTGTACCTCCACCGTTCCGACCACCTTATTTTCTTTTCTAGAATAAATTAGCATATATCATATATCCTCGTTCTGTCGTCCATGTTGTTTCACCGTCAGATTTAACGTCTTCAAAAATGTTAGCGGGCCTCTTGTGACCTCATTAACCCTTGTGTGATACTGGGGCGCTTGGGGGTCCGCTACAATGTATGTGCTCTCACTAAAAACACAGCCTCACTAACAACCTCATTAATAATTTTAAAACAAATCTGAGCAGCACACCAGAAAATCAGTTGACGCGATTTCTGGGTGGCTCAAGAAGCTGGTAGCGAAATCTGGTGCCCTTATCGAATTTGAAATAAAGCCTCATGCTAAACGCTTTCCTCTCGTGTCCATTTGTAAGAATTATAGTTAATAAATCAGTTATATTTCAATTACACTATACCGTCTTCTAGCAGGGGCTTTGGAGTCAGAGTTTTGCTTCTCCTAGACTGGTTAACAAACAAAGCTATCGGGCCCAGTCTTTTCTGCTATTCAACACAGAGCTTGTGAGAAGAGATGGATTCATACCTTTCAATGTATTCAGTGTGTATTCAATGAATACAGCGAACTCAACTGGAATTCGAACACTGCTCTCCGATTCTCCATCCGAGCCGCTATCCATTGCGCCAGTGTACCTCCAAGATATATGGACACTAACGAAGCATAATTTTATAGGTGAGATCTGTTTCTCATTCTTTTTACTCTCATTTTTCTTTTCCCTTCTTCCTCCCTTATCATTTTCTCTTTCACTATTACTTCCGATCTCTCTCTCTCTCTCTCTCTCTCTCACACACACACACACACACACACACAACGCCTCCACACATTACACTGAGAAGTAAAGGCAATAAGTTCTTTGGATCTTCATAATGGGTGTAAGATAGATAAGTCTCGGAGAAACCAATGTTGATGTATGGGCTCTTGGCGTCTTCAGCAGGATAGAAGGGGAAGAATGAAGTTCGTCTTCGAGCGAATTTTCTCTTTCTTTCGTTCTTTCTTCCTTTCTTATTGGGCAAACTGAAATTTCCCAACAGCTGCGAAGATGGCTTTTCAGTTCCAACTGTCCGGGTTTCTTAGAAATTAATCTTGTTTGCTGAACAGCGGCCGACCGAAAAGAAGGGATCAGATTACGAGCTGTGGCTCTTCAGAAGTCTGCAGATAGATAGATAGATAGATAGATAGATAGATAGATAGATAGATAGATAACGGACAGTCTCAGATAGATAGATAGATAGATAGATAGATAGATAGATAGATAGATAGATAGATAGCGAACAGTCTCAGATAGATAGATAGATAGATAGATAGATAGATAGATAGATAGATAGATAGATAGATAGATAGATAAATGAACAGTCTCAGATAGATAGATAGATAGATAGATAGATAGATAGATAGATAGAAAGAATAGATAGATAGATAGATAGATAGATAGATAGATAGATAGATAACGAACAGTCTCGGATAGATAGATAGATAGATAGATAGATAGATAGATAGATAGATAGATAGATAGATAACGAACAGTCTCGGATAGATAGATAGATAGATAGATAGATAGATAGATAGATAGATAGATAGATAGCGAACAGTCTCGGATAGATAGATAGATAGATAGATAGATAGATAGATAGATAGATAGATAGATAACGGACAGTCTCGGATAGATAGATAGATAGATAGATAGATAGATAGATAGATAGATAGATAGATAGATAGATAGATAGATAATGAACAAACTTAGATAAAGTAAAATTGGTTACATTTATTGCGGGGGATACTCTGTAATGAAGATAAAACGTTTGTAGTTTGGGACTGTGGACATAGAAATTAAGACTCTATAGTGACTGACGCTGATTATGTCTCGGTATCCATAGAAAAGCCAAGTTCGAATTCCAGTCGAATCCATTCACTTACGTGATAATACCCTTGGGAAAGGTATGAAACCCTTTTTCTCCCCCCAGCTATGGGTAAATAGCAGGACAGACCGGGTTCTTTTGGATGGCAACTGTTCTCCTGCAGAAAGAATGGGCAACCTACTGCAGGAAAAATTCTGCCTCGTCAATCATGTATCGAAAGATGCATGATCGCCTAAGCGCATATCGCGCATGATATATAACTGACTGGCCTCTAATCTATAATCAATATAGTGTCAGTTAAATCTGTATGTTCCTCTTCGATTCCTATATATCGTCGTTAGTGCGTTCTTTTATGAGTCATCTGAATCTTGACCATCTTTTTGTTTTCTCGATTTTTACAGCTTACGGTTTTTGAAATGCCTGATATCACAGAACACCGGCTCCAGTACGATCACGTTAAGTTAATCAATGTCGAGCCTGGTCAATAGCGCGCTTAAATTCATATAGTCGAGGTACTAGATTATTAATTATATGTTTAACTATATTACGTCGAAACGCCGCTTTTTGTTTGCTC